ATCGACTTCTAGTAATATACCCTTTTAAGAAATCTTTATCAGTTACTTGATTGAAGCTTTAACTAAAGGAATCATCTAGATATTTTGTTATTCGATTGCTATGCAAATAAATGTGTAAATTTTTTCACTTGATCTCGATGAAAACTAGTAATGTTTTATTTTTTTTTATGATATAAGCAAATGAAAGAATAGGTACCTAAGAAATAAAACATAACATTCTTTTTGCCAATATTTGATAAGTTTTATGCATTGCCTTCTTAACGAAACGAAAATATCTTCACCAATGTTACATTATCATAACGACAAATTTTATGGAACAGTACCATATTGACCATGTGTTGCACTTGACGGACCACTACTCACACCAGAGCCTCTGTCAGCGTAATAAGGTTTAGATGATTGTTCTGGGTCACCACCACGGCCAACCTTAATAAGCCGTTCATGTTCAGCCCTATATTCACGATCTCGTTGTTCAGGAGTAGGTAAATTCACAATAAGAATGTATGCCGAAATCAATGCTAGGATCTGAATTAAACGAATTGAAGGACATTAAGTAAACAATGAGAAAATAAAATAAAAAAAGGAAAAAAAAAGTTTAACCTGAATAATGGCTAAGATAATCCCCCAAACACCGAGCGCAGTTTGGTGATTTTGATAGGATAGAGTTAAAACGTCTAAACACGGTTTATCATAACCGAACCAAGAACTTTTAACGCAAGCGTCTGGGCGTCTCTTTGGGACAGCACGATCTGTTACATTCCTAAATCCACAGCACGAATACTATTGACAAAAAGAATAATTTAAGTTATAATTATTTAGGCATAATAAGAAAAGATCATAGTTGATCTACCTTATCTTCGATGTCACGAAGTACTCTCGGATTATCGTCATAAGCAGTTTGCCACCAGGTGTCGAGAAATCTTTCAACCTTAAAAAAGGAATGAATGTTAACACATTAATAATGATAATGATGATTAAAATTAATTATCGTTATTAATCGTTATTAATCGGGAATACATGCATTTCGTGTATCGATCAAAGTAATAATCGCGACAATGATTTGTAAAATAACCAATATCAAAAGAATAATGAAATACTATTTAAATTATCGATTAAGAAAAACAAAGTGATGATCAAAATAACAGAAAATTTGGTAAAAGAAAAGAAAAAAGGATACGACCCATAAGATGGGTCTACTTTCGGCTATTCCACCACAGCATCCAGTAATAGAAATCAAAAGAATGAAAATACCAAAGATGATCGTTGCGAGAGGAATCGCGGTTGAGTACAAGCTTACGTCTGGAGACGCGAGTTCGTAAAGACCCGCCACGATAAGGATCATACCTACAATCTAGAAAGCACAATACAGATAAATCCAAGACACGAAAAAGTACGATACCGAGATTTGAATATTAACAGATATGAACACTAACGGTGGTTAAAGTGTTTGTTAAAATCACAATAAGTCGTCCGGCCTCCACGCTTACTCCCATTTTTACAATCAATTTTATTTTTATCCAATTAAAAAAGATTGTTTTATAATAACACTTTCACTATAAATATATACTAATATCACTTAGGATGATATCGACCGTGAGTAGAGAACAAAACGTGAACAAAAAAGCAAAAAAGATATCCGTGAGAAACATGAAAATCAAGATCATATCGATATTTATGTGAGAGCATTTTGCTGATTGGCAATGACGTGAATAATTGTTCATTAGCGTTAATACTGTAATAGTCAAATATATTTCATAATAACATCATTATGTTACTGATCTACACATATATATGAACCGACAGCTCGTAAATTTTAAACCTATAAAACGTAATACATATATATGAAAATGCCTCTGATACAACTGACATCTGAATCTATCAGACGATTTTTTTGTTTTTATCGAGTTTCATTCATTAACCCGATTCGGTAATAAACTACATTAGCATAATACTCGATACGGTATTACTACAGAACCTTAATCATGTACGTACATAACAACTCTACAAAATTTGCTGAAAACCTTTTTCCCGTGAAATATTAACCCAAAGTCATAATCTACAAAATTTTTGTTTATCTTATCTACTAAACCATTGTTATTAAATGTTATCACACAAATTTAACAGGACAGCGCGATATAAATGCAACATATATGCACGTGCGTACATACGTACATGATTTTTAATACAAGAAACTAAAAAAAAAATGATGTGATCACATGGAATGTAACTTGTCCTTGATCCGGAAGTACTAACCAAAAAAGTAAAGTAATTGAATTCATAGTCGCGTGAGCTCCGAACACGAAGTAAGTAATAACGCCAAAAATGGGCGGAGGTTGCATCAAAGGCTGTGCAAGAAAATGTGAAAATTCTTTCGGCTTTCGCATTCATACGAAAAAGAATGAAAGAGCATAATTAATATGAGAAATCAAATGAAAAAGAAGAAAAAGTTAGCAATGATTCTTCCATTTTCACAGCCTCAAGCCCAAATTACACTATTTCTTGAAATTGATGGGATAAAATAGATGAGATGGAACGTGATAGAGGTTTTTGTAAATGAAGTTAGTAGAAATATATCTCTAATCCGGTTTAACAATAATTCGAAGAAAATTTCCTTTGTTTCTACCTATAAGTTATAAAAATCTATTTTATTAAAGTTTTGTATTGTGCTCCCTTTAAAACATCCTGTTTATGACAAATCTCGTTCAAATCATGCACCTTGAATAAAGTTGCTTTTCGGTTTTATTTGTCTTGAAATTCTTAGCCTTTCTGTTTGTTATACAAAGCTTCCACTGGTTTCCACCGAAGAGTTCATGTTTATCTTTCTTTCATATAGCAATTGCCTCGAATTTCAGAATGCAAACAGATTCTGTAGTTTAAAGAGTTCGACAGGGCGGCCCCCCCAAAGTTCGGGTGATGATCGACATAATCACATCGCAGCCGCAGGAACCTTGAGATCATCACATCGACCATATAGGATTGGATAATCCTATGTGGTTGATCTCAAGGTTCCTGCGGCTGCGATGTGATTATGTTGATAATCACCCGGACTTTGGGGGGGGCCGCCCTGTCGAATTCTAGTTTAAAATCAACTAGTTCGTTGTTCGTTTCTCAACGTTTAGACAAACAGTTAGAGAAACGAAACATAAATTAGCGTGCCAAACTGAGGACCTATAATCGGGGGTCGTCTAAAGCGGAGGCACATCATGTGATCAACAGCCAATCAAATGATAGAATTTTGATGATCGCCAGCG